GTGCCCTGAAACACCAGAGTGAAATACAATCAGGCATTTAACTGATTCTGTGATTCACTACTGTTGCACCCAAGGAGTTAACTGCCCGTATTGGCTGAAGGCCTTGTTTTGTCTATGTTTTCTACTTCACATCATCAGCACTGTGAACAATATCTCTCCTTCTCTGCAGGCAGCCTACATAGCGCTCAGTACGGCATCAGCAAATCACTTTCTGGACTCCTCGTCTCCCTGCACTGCTCCCGTTCCCCAGCGCAATCCTCCAGCGATAACTGCTAACCGCTGACACCTTGACGAAGTATTATTTTGTAAGTCAAGAAAAAAGATTAACCCTGACTGTATTTACCCCAGCAGTAGGTCTTAACTAATTTACATTCTCCTGTTTCAATCATCACCTTATGTTCACAGCTAATTGAATCCTTGGGGAGCCAAATCCCCACAGTTACACAAAATTAACACTGAGATGCATATGTGCATTTTTTTGCCCTCCTAGAGTGGTTTTCTCATTGTACATTCCACTAAATTCTCAGCTATGCCTTTGATCATTTGGAGGCATTATTTCATTTTGCTATTTTATTATATGTATAGTTTAATATTCCTGATTTCCATATGTGTCCATTTTATTTATTTATTTATTTATTATTTATTTATTTATTTATTGTCTGTCTGTCTGTCTGTCTGTCTGTCTGTCTGTCTGTTTGTTTGTTTGTCGATCTGATATCTATATATGCAATTACATTTAGGTAATATCATGTTCTTGTTTGAATTTATATTTACACAGAAGCAAAGTTAAATATGTATTTGATTTAAGTGATTTCACTGAATAATTCACCTTAACTATACCCCTCAAAGAAAATATTTTTAATAATAATAATAATAATAATTATTATTATTATTATTATTAAGAATTGAATGTCCACAAGGGGAAGTTTAGTCAGATTTACTGTGCCGGGGTAATGATTTTCTATGTTTTATAAGGTTTTAAATGCATGAATATAAAAACATGAAAAGGCAAAAGGTGTGCTAAATAAAGATATTCTCTGAAAATAAGTGTGTAAAGCCTTTTTTTCACATTTAATATTTATTATCTCTCCTGTTGCTTTGTCAGGTCACAATATTTCAGTTCAAACCGATCAAATCTGCACTGACAGGGTCAATTCATGCTAATTTATACTGGACAACCAAACAGAGAGAAAGAGAGCAACTGGTCAGAATGTGAATGAAACCAAATGCTGGTTCAGTCTTGAAAAGTACATTTACTAAATTATTTTATTTCTACACATTACGGAATGTTTCAACAGCACTTCGCATTTTTTAAACATAATTTACACACTGATAGAGATCGCATTGATTAAAACTGGCCTGTCCTAACCTACTGAAATTAAGAATTAAAGATTTATGACATACTGCATTGATCTGCTGTCTTTATTTCCTCTGTTCTCACATCTCTATAACCTTCCTCTCAAGTCTCTTAGTGATTCAGTAAGGAAAAATAAATAAATAAATAACAAGCTTGGAATAATGAAGGACCAAGCTCTTGATTACACTTAGAGGATTGATAACCCATTGAAAATGTTTATTGATTTTGCAATTACAGGGTCAGCTGATTGATGCGGCATCAAGTAATGCTTTATCACACATTAAAAAGAGAGATATATAAATGAAGCACTGTGATGTGTCTTCATCCACTGTTTGTTCTCAAAGCATAGCTGCTGATCAAAACAGAAAACTATTTTGAGTTTACAAGACTTTTAAATGTGATGCACACATGAAATACTGTAAGTGTGCTTACTTAAGTATAATGCTTAATATGCACTATAACATTGCTCTGTTCATTTGAGCATCCCAACCAGCCCTAGGAGGCCTATAATTGTCTGCTAGCGTTCTCATTCACTTCAAAGGCAGCTGCTCGACTGGCTCAGCATCCTCTAAAGTATGCAACCTACATTTTACCATCCTTGCTCATAGACACGGAAATTATGCTATTATATATTATATCGTACTGTTTCTTAAAGCATACAATTGACAATTAAACTAGACAAGTCAGCTCACAGTGAGCGAAAAGTAATAAACTGAAGCAATTTAAGCCCTGTCTCTTGTGAAAAGACGAATGCTTAACTATATTGCATGTGCACTTTAATTATTAAATGTTTATTAAAGAGGAAAAAAACAATACTTGCTGATAATACAATATTAATGAAAAAAAAGTTATTTAAGTGTACCTAAAGAGAGACACTTCCATGACTATGTTTCTTAACACACTTAAGTACACAACAGATTGCTCTTTGAAATAATTTTTACATTAAAATAAATTTTAAATATTGCATTTTGATAATAGTTGGTCATGTTTTAAAGAAGTGCACTTATTTTGATGTGCTGATTAACTAAACACTAAAGCACATAAAAAGTACTTAATTATTAGTTTAACTGCAGTGTGTTTTTTTATATTACATTTAAACTTAAATATATCAAGTGCGACTTTATCATTGCGAATGTGCATTTACAAATATTTTTAAATACAAGACATTCAATTTTCAATAGAAAGTACATTATAGGATATGTTAGTTTAGCATAAATGCTTGTCAGTACATTCAGCAGTAACTTTAACCATATTTCAAAGACAATAGAAGTAATTATAAAATTAAAGATACTTGGGTGGGTCAAAAACATCCAAACAATTGCATTTAATATAAATATATATTATCATACATCTTCAATTAAATAAATAACATGCAATTAGGTGTCTGAAAACCATTAAAAATTGCTCTTTTTAAAGTATATAAAAGTGTAAATCTGTTTCACAATGGATATTACAAATATTTCTACAAATCACAGGCTCTTTTATACTGGCCCTCCAGCATGTCAGTCAGTGCACATTGTATATTGGGTCCACTGTGCACATGAATCAATGAACCACATTCAAGGACGTGATATATTGTTTTCCGCAATTGGATTCCTGTGTAAATACATTAATGCGAGTGAGTACAGCATTGGAAATGAAAATGTGTCAAAATGGAATATCTGCTGCTTCTATGAAGAGTAAAAATGCACAAATTAAGTCAGGATAGTCAAGACCAGGCCCACATATAAGTTTTGGGGCCCCAGCACTAGAAGGACACACTCTACGCCATTGACCATTGTGATCCAATACTAAACTCATTGATTTTACATTGTGGGGCCAATGTGGGCATGATAAGGTCTTGGGGTTTAGGCTTGTCCATGGAATCCATGTCGGCTCTATTTGAATTAGCCCCAAATTAATCTGACTGGGGCTAATTCACTGACTCCTGTGTATAAACCCATTTTGGGCCCAAACCTCAATCCTATATTGTGCCTACACTGAAATGTGGGATGAGAGTCAATAAATCCAATAAAAGCCGCAGAACCTATTGCCTTTGGGCAGATGATGTGTACTACGGCATGTGTGACTGTATGTGTTTGTGTGTGGGGAGACTGCAGAGTCATAAATCAGAGTTTATTCGCATGTTGGAATCCATTTTAGATTCATGCCAGCACAAACGGGATGCCCTTTACCCAAATGGCCACCATAATCCAATACTGGACTCATTGGTTTGACATTCTCAGACAGAATTTCATGGTGGGTCCAAAGTAGGCACAATTTGGTCTTAAGGTTTGGGCCGGCAAATGGGTTTGCCCATGGGCTCCATATCGGCTCTATCTGAATTAGCCCATGTGAATCTCTTATAGAATCTGACAGGGGACAATTAATTGATATGGATCCCATTTGGGACCCAAACCTCAAGCCCACATTGTGCCTACACTGAAGCGTGGGCTGTGAGTGAAATGATCCAATAGAAGCCATAGAATCTACTGCAGTTGGGCAGATGCTGTGTATTACGACATGTGCGACTGTGTGCATTTGTGTGTGGGAGACTGCAGAGTCATAAATCAGAGTTTATTTGCATGTTGGAAGGCATTTTAGATCCATAGCATTGTGGATAAGGAGCAGATGCTTGTCATCTCAGTTGGACAGGGGTCGCTGATGGGATAATCCCGTGGTCCCCACAATCCCTCTCAGCATGCTCCTTGTCAAGGGTGGATGGATGATAATTCAAGAGGGGGGCCACGCATAAGTTTTGGGGCTGCCTGCATCATTATGATGCCCCGTACACCAGTGCCCACCATGATCTAATACTGGACTTGTTGGTATGACATTCTCAACCAACATTTCATGGTGGGTTCAAAGTAGGCACAATTTAGGCTTAAGGTTTGGGCCCCAAATGGGTTTCCATGTCGGCCCTATCTGAATTAGCCCATATGAATCTCTTATAGAGTCTGACAAGGGACAATTAACTGATATGAATCCCATGTGTGGCTCAAAACTCAATTCCATATCGTGCCTACACTGAAATGTGGGCTGGGAGTCAACAGATCCAATAGAAGTCACAGAATCTACTGCCGTTGGGCAGATGATGTGTATTACGACATGTGCGACTGCGTGCGTCTGTGTGTGGGGAGACAGCAAAGTCATAAATCAGAGTATATTCGCATGTTGGAGGTGTGTGGGTAGACGGCCACATATTTAACCTTGATATAGTGCTCCCGAAACATCTGCTTGCCGTTCTGACGACCTTGCAGAGGGGTGAGAAGCAAATTTCCAACTTTATTTTGCTCAGTCCCTTGCGCCTCCTCTCTGCTTCTGTACATACAGTATCTTCCAGTTTTCCTACTGCACTGTGGTGTATCTCACCCCCAGGCTGTTCTTTAGCTAAAGAATGAGAGAAATTGATTATCCAGCACGTCTAGTAGGATTCCTTCTCTCTCTCGTCGAGTCTTTTTGCGCAGTTGCGTAAACCTCAGCCCGCAGAATCCAACTCGTTGTGCGCTAGGATGCTTCCACGCACACGCAAGTACAGAAAGGACAAATCCTGCGAGGGGAGATGGAGGAGCAGGGGGCTGAGGGGGAGGAAACATCCTCTCATGCTCACTTTCACATCCCTCCCTCTCTCTCTTTCTCTCACTCGCATCCTCCAGGAGAGCGAGGTAAGGAGGTGGTGGAGCGCTGTGTGAGCCGAGGCAGTGAGGCAGTTGAGATGAGCACATCAGAGCTGGAGTCAGAACAGAGCGCAGCTGCCCTAACATGCTTCCCTTGACACTGCACAGCTACCTCTGCGCTCGAATGAAGGTAAGTCAGACGAGTGGGAGGAACGGGAGCTAGAATATCTGTTACCCGGCTGAGTGCGATTGTGTCACACGGTCACTATTGAATGGGTCTTAATATCATCCGTCCCTCTTGAGAAGGAGCATGCTGAGAGGGACAGAGAGCCGGTGGGGATCACAGGATTACCCCGTAGGCGACCCTTGTCCCATTGAGACGGCGAGCGTCTGCTCCTTGTCCAGGATGCCATGGATCTAAAATGCCTTTCAGCATGTAAGGTGGCGTTTTTGCCAGCGTTCCTGGGGACACGTGTTTTAGTGCATTGCAGGAGTTTTGCAAGTCTGCCGGTTGCATGTGTGTGCATGCACGTGTGTGCAAGAGAGAGTTTGCACGTGCTTTCACGTGGAGATGCATCTGCGGTAACCAAATGGTGTTGGGTGCACACTTTCAGAGAGGAAAGTCGCTGGTGTTGATGGCCGTCGTATCGATTCTCTCTGATTCTTCGTTATAGGGGTATTAGTTCTCTCATCTGGGGCTGCAGCTACAAACTGCTCACATAGAGAGATTTTCCTCCTCCTAGCCTCTCTGGTCCTGTCACACTTTGAGTCTCCAGATAACTCTGTGCTGAAATCAGGGAACAAAGCAGCGGCTGCTCGATAAAGGGTAAGATACTAAAAGACAGCTTGATCATCGCTTCAAGGAGAGGGAATGAGTGTGAGATTGTGAATTTTTCATAGAGTTTGCTTGCAGCTTGCATACGTAATAGCAAATGTGAGATATGTGCTGTACAGTTTCACTTTACCTACAGTCATGTCATGTTTAAATATACATGCAATTGCCACTAAAACACAACAGTATGCAAATGCATTCACAATACTGAGTCAATGATATTTTGCATCCTCTAACCCTATGCTTAACGTAAATTCTCAGCCTTTTAGATTTTCCCTAAGATATTATGTAGTATGTTTATTGAGCTGTTTTCCTCTTGGGGATCGTTGGCTGTTAATCACAATAGAGGTGATTTCAGGTTTTACTATCCTTGTGGGGATATTTGTTTCCTACAATACAGGCAAAGCCTGACCCCCACACACATCTAAGCATCTAAATGCAGGCAAACATAAGAAGCATTCAGCCTAATCCATTTGCAGAACTGTCAGTGTTTATTAGAATATACATGTCATTAAAGTTTCTGGTCGCCACGCACAGTTGATTCTGATGATGTGACCTTTGACCCCATTAACTTCATGACAATTCCCTTAACTCAGCAAAACAGCTGCGTCACACCAAAAGGCCTTTCTCAATTACTTACTGCCAAGTCTATAACATGGAGCAACAGAAATTATGAACCATTGTGAATTACTAAAAGGATCTTTTAGCCAAAATGCATTTACTTCCTCAAACTTTAATGCTTCCATGGAATTCAAAAGGAGAAATTTAGAAGGCTGTTGTTGCTATTGTCAATAAAATTACAAGAAATGTGGAATTAAACGTTATTTTGTTACTTACACAGAGTTACTGAATGACTTCAGAATACTGTACACGTGTCATATGGACTGTTTATATTATGCTTTTGTGTTCTTTTTTAAGATTTAATCATTGTAATTGCATGGACAAGAGCGACCAGTACAGTCTTTAAATGTTTCAACTGGTGTTCCATAAAATAAATTAGTTCATATATATATTTTGATTTTGGAATGACAGAAGGTTGACATGATGACATAATTTTAAATGTTGGGTGAGCTATTACTTAAGCACTGGACATATTAAGCAAAGCGAGCATAGACAACCCATGGTTTGCAGAATTGTCAGTGTTTATCAGAATATACATGTCATTAAAATCTCTGGTCGCCACGCACAGTTGATTCTGATGATGTGACCTTTGACCCCATTAACTTCATGACAATTCCCTTAACTCTGAGCAAAACAGCTGCGTCACACCAAAAGGCCTTTCTCAATTACTTACTGCCAAGTCTATAACATGGAGCAACAGAAATTATGAACCATTGTGAATTACTAAAAGGATCTTTTAGCCAAAATGCATTTACTCCCTCAAACTTTAATGCTTCCATGGAATTCAAAAGGAGAAATTTAGAAGGCTGTTGTTGCTATTGTCAATAAAATTACAAGAAATGTGGAATTAAACGTTATTTTGTTACTTACACAGAGTTACTGAATGACTTCAGAATACTGTACACGTGTCATATGGACTGTTTATATTATGCTTTTGTGTTCTTTTTTAAGATTTAATCATTGTAATTGCATGGACAAGAGCGACCAGTACAGTCTTTAAATGTTTCAACTGGTGTTCCATAAAATAAATTAGTTCATATATATATTTTGATTTTGGAATGACAGAAGGTTGACATGATGACATAATTTTAAATGTTGGGTGAGCTATTACTTAAGCACTGGACATATTAAGCAAAGCGAGCATAGACAACCCATGCAGGCCTTGTTGTGCAGCAGAAGTCATGATTTGGCACAAGCAATAATTCTGTAGGCTAATGGTTTTTGAAAACTCAATGATTAGTTGATCTCATGATGTGAAGTCCTCTCACATAATTTGATAGTGGGTTACCTTGAAAGAAATGTATATGTGCACACATAACTGTGTTTGTGTGGATGTGCGTGTGGACGTGCATCAGATGGAAGTAAGTTGCACCTCATTTGCTCCCGAAGTGCGTGTTCCATTTGTATTGTGTTAGGTAAGATCCAAGCTGAAAAGTCCTCGAGCGCAATCCATCTGCTTGGTTGTAATTAGATAAAACTTCAGTCTAATACATTCAGAGTATTGTCATGTCAGCTGCGGTTTGAGAGAAATTCTACTTCCTGCTGCATTGATCTGTATGCTTTGAAAGTATGTATCTAGCAGTTTATAGGACAGGTCTGAGATTAAATATTATGCTGGTCATTCATGTTATGCTGTATACTTTACACTTTAAACATTTTTAATATTAATATATTAATAACATTTTTATTTTTTAAATATTAAACTATGTTGTTAAGCTGTAAAATAATTCAAGTTTTTTTTAGCTTTATATTTAAACAATGGTGAGGAAAAACAGGATGTCTAACCATGTAAATAAAGAACTAAAGTTAACAGTCAAAAATAATATTTGTAATATTGCTTTGAAAAAAGAATCTAACTGAACAGATTTTTTTTCCCAGTTATACCTACTAATATCACTATAAATCACATAATTCATAATTAATTACACTTACTAATGTTTGTTCTGTTGTTTTCCCATCAGCTGATGTCACTTCCTGAAAGATGATGTCATTGAGGAACTACCTATTGTTAATGAGATATTACAAAGATTAAAAAGGTGGACATTGTTATTGAAGATAAACACATTCTATAAACAAAAAATACTATAAATTCCTCTTATTTCTTTTTTTATTTTTTTTATTTACTTACTTACTTACTACCAGCAATATTGCCAAAACAATGTTTTGCCTATATTTTGATTAGGATGGGGAAAAAATCACACCTGGGATATTTTGCTAGTGTTTGAGAATTTTAGCAAATATTACTCAGAGACATGGAAAAAAAATTGGCACTCAAGCCAAAATAGTGAAATAATTTAATATTCACTCTGATGTATGTTTTATTTACTTCTGCCTAATTGTGATGTTGTGATTAAAAAAACAAGAACAAGAAAACATCTTGATAATACATTAAATACTTAAGAACTACACAAACATAAAGACAATCAGAAAAGCCACAGAAACACAACCATAGTCAGTACACAGCAGACATGAGCGTTATACTGTATATACAAACTAACAAGACTATTAAACATGAACCAATCACAAGACAAGACTTATGAAGACACATTAACCAATGGCAAGACTAGAACACACAAGGAAAGGAAACCAGGAACTAAAAGCAAGGAACTAGACGTTTAAGACATTACAAAATAAAATAATATATAACCCATAAAAAAAACAGCTTTGCTAAGTTCAAATACATTTACAGAAATCCCGAGTTTATGGATATTAACCATGAACATCTCTGTCAGACATGTCAACTTGGATTTGCATGTAAAACACTCAAACGACTGCGGCTCCAACAGTTAAAGGTATTATAACCACTGCTTGTACACTTTGTTTGTTCTTTAATATTTCGCAATGGAATAGGTATTCGTTTACAGATAATTAATTGAGTGATTAGGTATTTTGAAGCCTTTCGGTGTTGCCATAGAAACAAATCATTTGTGAATCTAAGGATGTGAAGAGCTCAGCGTTGAATCCCTGAGTCATGGTAATTCTCAAACACGTGAACGCAGCATCACATTTGAATGTAGATCTTCTTTTTACTCTCCAGCCTGTCACCAAACGCGGCCACCGTTCTGTGACATATAGAGCTGGCACTAGCAACACAGTGGGAAGTAATACTGCCACATCCTTTAAACCAGCACTCGTAAAACACACGCTGCAACGGACAATCATCCCTTCACCTTCTGCCTCATAAACACAGCAGGCCTTACGGGCCGTGTGTGCGGAAGTCTGTGTGTAACTGACAGTGTGCAATAAAAGCCAACATAACAGATAATGAAAAGGGAAGATGAAGGAACGAGAGGCATGGCTAAATGGCAGATTTGTAGTTACATTCAGGCCTTGCTTTTGCGTTGAGAGGCATACACACAGTGCCACCGGCACACTTATGCAAACAAATCAGAGAGCATCTGATGTTTATCTGAAAGAAAACAAGCTCGCGCCTTTGCTAAATATGGCATTTGTTGATTTATAAGCATGAAAGAATGTGCTTGGAGAAATATTACAAAAAACACCATCAAAAGTTTGCCAGCTGCTTTGTTTTAGTAGCATCCAGTCACTGCAATAAATAGGATGTCTTTGGCTGTTCAGCAAAGAGACAAGAAATGTGAAAAACTGCAGTGTGTGTGTGTGTGTGTGAGAGAGAGAGTTTGCATCTGTCATTCAGAAGTCAAGAAGGTGATCAATGTCAGACCGATGCAGCACTATAAACTCAGGTCACTGCTGCAATAGTAGAAATGTCAGACTTT